CTTGATGAAGTAACACCTGTAGTGCAACATGGTAATAGCGACTGCCTTATTTAGTGGGAGGGAGTCAGTTTTTCACAATTCACTATACTGTCTACGGAAAAGTGTCTTTAATCAAGCGAAAACCCGCAACACCAGCCATTGCCGCTGGTCTTGCACATATACTTATCCCACGCTCACCTATTGACATGCAATCACCTAAGTAACCGTCCCCCTACCTGAAACAGAGAGCCGCGTTCGGTAGCGTACAGCATCACTGGTTGTAAATATGTGGTAGCATACAGCGTCCATGAACTATATGATAACCTCCTATTGCCCATCTTTCTCATTTAGAAGAAAATGGTTTAATTGGGTAACTTTTCTGTCATGCTTTAACTATGTGGAGACATTAATTATTTCTCCCGAATTCCGACGACAACATTGCTGTTCAAAAATGGGAACCCCGCCTCACTGGGAGAAATACGTAAATCTATCGTGTGAACCTCTGAAGGAAAACTCCTTAATGAGTGATAATTGTATAGATGAACGAGGGTCTGAAAATAGAAGGAACGTGGGCGTACAAACGGAATGAGTGCAGTATCAACACGAGGCGACTGGTATCCTTTTACTTAGTGGGGGGCCATTATATCTGATAGAATGGTTGAGTTGATTTTCATCCAATCAAGACAGAGGTGAAGATCCCACAGAAGCCACATAGTTGCATTGGTAAAGCAGTAAACTGAAAGTATTCAAAAAACGGACAACAGTTGATTCACTTGGGTTTTCAGTTCATTATCAGTAGGTTTGTCGATCCACAGGATATTACTTCAACGTGTTTCACTCTAATAAGACTGACGCATTGTTCAATCGAAGCTCAGTGGCAGTCGGTCATCCAACGGAATCTCTAAAGGCTCTCGTGCACTCAAACCGCAATTGTTTCACACCTGTCCTGGTGTGTGTGTGTGTGTGTGTGCGTGTGTGTGTGTGTGTGTGCGTGTGTGTGTGTGTGATATAAACCGATCAAGTCACATGCATATTTGAAGGACGGTTAGGCTAGAGAGTGACTCCCGCCGCAGATATCGAATTATGCTTCATTGTAGCTGTTCGTCTGTGTCAGAAGACCAAACACTAATAAAGGGAGAGAGAGAGAGCTACGGCGACACGCGTCGAATCTGACTAAAGCTCAACTGAGTAAGGTACACGGAAATCTCTCCGATTTCACCTGGTTTTACTTTTCAAATTGTGAGCACAGTGTAAAGTGGTTAAATAGATTTGTGCTTGATTTGTCCAATGGGAGTGGGGGTTCCCAGAATCTGACCAACGGTGTATTCAGACAATCATAAGTCTCTAATTCGTTACTATCGTAGAATCAGGAAACCTTATTTTAACGTTTAATTTTGCATCGTCATACAGCGAAATACACCGAAGCGAACTTCGCTGATCACTGTTCAGTTTTTGAATGTACACAAGATAAACGAGAAAGTACAATAGGATTTGGACCTAATTGGTGCTAGACAAAGAAAATTGATCTCTATGGTCAACACAATGCACAACCTAAATTTGTATGGATACCATTTCAAGCATCCTGACCTGATTATGAGTAACAATAAGAACGCCACTCCTGCCGGTTAGTTGCAGTGTCTCCCACCAACCAGATGAAGTTTTTTGGATTCTACCCTGGATTACGGGAGACATCTACTCTCTCCCTCTCTCTAGTTTCCACGTCATCTGTTGACCGACACGTTATTTCGTCTTGCAGCAGAAACAGCAAACAGCGCGTTACGGTAGATGGCCACTGGACGTGTAAAATGTTGTCACCAGCGAGGCCTATTAGTCGCATTTCGCTGTGATAACAAACTTTCCGACAAATACGTAATAATTTAGCAGCTGTTTCGTCCTGTTTGGGACTCGTCGGTAGTGCTTACTTTTTGTGTCCCTGTCAGGACTCGAACCGCGATCAGTCGGGTCCGGACTTCAAACCCTTACCCCTGAGCTACACGGTCGACGGTTATCACCTTATGCGAATGGCTCAATCAATTTAGAGTATCAAGCTTGGATTAGCCTACTCGATTGTTCAGAGGCATCAGGCACTCTTCTTTGGTTATCACAGACATTTCCATCGCATTTGAATGCATACAAGCAGTGGGGAATTAACAATCTTTCAAAGAGTGAAACCCACACCGAGGACCATCAAGAGTGCCTGGTGCCTCTGAACAATCGAATGGGCTAATCCAAGCTTGGTACTCTAAAACGTAATAACTTACTTTACAATTGATTATACGCGGTCGCCTGCTTTAGCAAGTGGTTGATTCTCTGAGATAACGTTAGTTTGTGCGTGTGTTACGCATGCCACCAAACAGGTTGTCGCGACGTTTGCCGAGGTAGGTAATGAGTGGAACAAAGTTAATACCCGTCATGAGAGTATGGAAAACCTGACCAGGAGACTTGCTCGCATAGGTTACATAAGGCCTCCTGGATGGTGACCTCGGGATCATTGTAACTGATGGTCAGAGATTCTCAGTGATATGACTGAGTGTCGCAAACAGTGGCGCTCGTGCATCTACTCATTGCCTTTGCAACTTTGGACTATCAGAATTCTTTATTTTGGCTTTGCTACAACTGTCAACATTCCAGTCCTCTTCTTATCCCTTCGTCTGAATAGGCTGCCAAAGGGCAGTAACCTAAGCCACCGCACGAAGGTATATAGTTAATGGTTGTTCAAACTGAAACAAACCGATTAATCCTATTTGTTCCTCGCATCATAGCTTTCCATCCCTTTGCGCAAAACCTCCTCGTTTTGATGAAGCTTTGGATAAGACTTTATGAAGGGATGCTTTAGACCATTAATTCACTGTTTCAACATCACGTGAGATGAGAGTTAGATCTCAGCTACCATTGTTGTAAGATGCTACTCACATTTGTAAGTAGTATGAAAAATAGTTCATGATTCCTTTCGACGAACGAAAATTAAAAAGACCACCGAGGGCAAATTGTTGTATCTCAAAGAATAACTATCGATTGCTACATTCATTACCCGTTATGCGACCAAGAACTGCGATGGTATGTTTCTGATGAGGTTTCTGTGTGTAATGTATGCCAAATTAGTGGGTCCCATCTGTAATCCTCAATAAAACACTATTCTCGACCGAGCACCGCCTTGTGGAATTATAACAACATGAAAAAAGAGAGAGCAACAGCTGTTTCTTTCTTACAGCTCCTCGGGTGATTAAAGTGTTTTATTTGCGGATACGTCCATAGTAGTTGTTGTGCAGTATATCTTAATTTACTTGGATTTTGACTCTAACCAGCTGTTTACTTCTCATGTTTTTCTGTTCTTCAGTGCACAGATTCGCTCCCTCCTTCGATTGCTGTTCTGTTTGGGTTGGTGCTTTGTACCATTCTATTTCTCTGTTCGACCATTTTCCACATAAGGGAGTTTGTCTTATCATTAACTGCTACCTGATAATCAATTTGCAGTCACTATTAGTTTCTTCTTTATCTCCTTTTCGATCGATCTTACCTTGAATTTAGCTCATTCAAGCTTCCCCAGCCCATTTTCCACCTTTTTGAACCAAATCCTATCTATCACGAATGTGCTCTGTTTGCATTTTCTCATTCCGTAGGTCTTCAGAACATCATGGGGGTTGCTCTCTTAACTGTAGATTACTTTATTTGTCCATAAACAAAATGATATTTCGCCATCGTTAACTAAACTGGTCATATTTACTGTTCACCAAATGTTTGCGCACCTATTCAGCGTTGAAGTCTCACATTGCTGCCACATCTGTCACATTTGTTGCTTAATTTCCATGCATTATGTCATTCCAGCTCGCCTCAAATCCGGTCAGCACTGTCCCAACCATGCCTCGTCCGCTGGTTCCGTTACGAAAAAGTGACAAAATCCCCATGCCTATTCGAACTCGCTATTTGGATCAGTTTATCGAAGAGTGCTTGGTGATCTATCAGTCACCTAATGATGCGTACGAACGGGTATGTCATGCTCTTCAGTTTGCACACTAAGCATTAAGACCGAAATAGTGATAAAACAATCAGTCCCTTGTCATTCAACTCTCACCTGAATTTCTCCGTTCGTCTGTCTCTTTGGACCCACTCAGCTTTCATTGCTTGTTGTTGTTGAGTATCTTCATTTTGAGACTAACAACAATAATTCAATTGATTCATGCGAATTAACACAGTCTCTTCCCCCTGCTCTGAGCTGGAACAGAGAACACGATGTATTGCACTCTGTGTATTTCCGGACTAATTTTGCTACATCTGAGCTGGTGCCTTGCTGCAGCACCTACGTGTGATGAATAGCAGACGGGGAAAGCCCCATAGTCACGAAGACCTGCTGTTCAGTGATGGCAACCGGCAACCTAAGCCCCGCGGGACTTGGAGTGGCGAACCACACACGGCCCTTATAAGTCAGGCGTGGTATAGAACCGGGCGACATCAAGGCTGCCTATCACCAAAATTGGGTGGCGGTGGCGGGGCTCGAACCATAGGGGCGAAAGCACGCCGGTGACTAAACCACTGCGCCACCACCACCCAATGGACTTGTGCATCAGAGAACATATTACCAGGGTAGAATTGAGGTAACACAAATTGCATTCAGTTGATACAGGATGACCTTCCCTCCTCTGATCACTATCACCTCCGCACACGGGGGTAGGAGGGGGGGGGAACTGCAATCTGACCCAATCAATATTCTTGAATGATTCATCGCTATCCTCCCGATGGCATTTTGCTAGCGCAGACCTCGCGATTGATTGGGGTTCGACTGTGACTGGGGTACTATTCGTTGTGTTGAACCTAGTGCGTGGCTTGTTCGATCGCTCGGTTAAGTAGCTGCCATAGACATTCGAATCGGTAGATGATGGTGAGGGAGAGGGGGAGATTGGTTTCGTTCATATTCCGGCTGTGCTGTAACACAAGACTGCTAAAGCACATGAGAGAAAATGACCGAATTAAGTTGACTGCGTAAAATTTTACCTACGGCATTACCCATATGTGTTGGTAGTTCAAGCTGAACCGCCGACTTTTCCACTAAAATAACCGAGTTTCTTGTCTGTTCACGTGCACTATGCCTTCGGTGAAACTCAGGATAGCCATTGGCTTTCAGTGCATATTTTAATGTGTTGTGGCTCAGTTTGATTAGGTCTCAGACGTCCATATGTGTTTAGCTCGATTGACCATAGTGTTCGAACGAGTCCACGTTTTACCTCATCTACACCTTTTCCCATCATGCTTTAGCCAAAACCCGCAATCATTTATTATTATATTATATTTCACACTTGTCTGAGAACAGACCGTGTGTACCAAATCACTAAATCATGGCACAAGAATCCTTATAAAAAGGAAAACGTTCCATGAGTTGCGTGTGGGCGGAATACTACCAGGTTGCCCAGGCCAAGGCACGTGAATTTTCTCAAGAAATCCACAACCTGAGCCTTCGGCTAACCAAAGTCTGACCCGCAAGGCAACGGGGCGGTGTGAGAACCGCAGTCCATTGGGAGCCGGTGTCCAGTTCGTCGGATCATGTGCCCTTCGGACAGGGTCAAACGTCCAAGGTACCCAATCCACCCCAATGCCCAATCGAGTCGGTGATCATTGCCACAACCCGGAAGGTGTTTGTGGTTCGTGCGCATCCTCTTGGTCGGTTCGAACTCAGGGTTTTTGGCCAACTCCCCTAGGTGAACTACCAGTAGTCCACCAACCCGGTTATATCCCCGGATATTGGCTTTTTATCCTCTCACTTTAGTGGGAAACACCTCGGGCACTAGAAGGCATTGAGTAGGGCTTCCTCAGCAGAGGCTGCGCAATCACTTAGCCTCGACTGGTAAACCTTTATCCAAAATCCGCAATAATTTAGCCAAAACCTGTAATTCTTTAGCTTCGACGCACAAACTGGAGTCACGCTGCAGTAGGCGAATCAGATCAAAAGTAACGGAATATTTTGAAGTCAACAGATATGAAACAATTTATTTATTTCCATAAATGTTGATGTTTCAAAGCTTAGTTAAAAAATAAGGCGATGTGGGGGTTGCACACTGCAACACATGTTGATTAGAGAAAGATTAACCGATGTACCCGTCTCGTCTAACCATTGGACACACATCTCGTACAGCTTCAATGTTTCTGTATAACATATGATACTTCTAGGAGTAAAAATATCAACTGAAATTCAAACGATACATTGTTTTGTATTTACAAGCACTGAAATAAATCAAAAGTTATATGCTTACCGTTTCGTATACCCACTTAAAGTGAACTCTGTTTTTAACATATGGATACATTAATAAGTCGAGAATAATAAACATTGTTCACAAAAGACTCCTTTTGGAATACCGTTTCCCAAGAAGCTATAGGCAAAACCCGGAATAATTAAGCCTCGACCGTTGCAATTATGAAATATTGTGCAGGGATAATAAACTGATAATAGTTATCATGCAGTTATGAAGGCGTAATTTTACGAGCGGTTTATTATCCTCAGCACGTTTATGTACCCCCTTCTGATGATATTGATATTTTTACTCCTAGAAGTATCATATGTTATACAGAAACATTGAAGCTGTACGAGATGTGTGTCCAATGGTTAGACGAGACGGGTACATCGGTTAATCTTTCTCCAATCAACATGTGTTGCAGTGTGCGACCCCCACATCGCCTTATTTTTTAACTAAGCTTTGAAACATCAACATTTATGGAAATAAATAAATTGTTTCATATCTGTTGACTTCAAAATATTCCGTTACTTTTGATCTGATTCGCCTACTGCAGCGTGACTCCAGTTTGTGCGTCGAAGCTAAAGAATTACAGGTTTTGGCTAAATTATTGCAGGTTTTGAATAAAGCATGCTGGGAAAAGGCGCAGATGAGGTAAAATGTGGAAATCCGGATATTGCTCAGTCCATGTGAATTTCCGGTAGACCGCTCTGTAAACCGAACTATTCGCTGTGCAAGTAATTCACCCGTCTACGAATAGCAGTTGATTGGTTCTCTGTGTTGTCAACCAAATNCAAATACACTCCTTTTTGTCCATATCTTTTGCAAGTCAAGTTGTCCCAGTATCATTTCAAGATGATCCCGGATTCTTTCAAGATGTCCTGGAATCATTTCAGCACCGGTGAGGTCAACGCGACAACTTGAAATAGTCCGAGGACATCTTGATATGATACGGGGACAACTTGACTTGCAGAAGGTGTAGATTTAAATGTTCCATTTCCCCTCTCTGTCTATGATGCAATCCCTGACTTCACCATTCCATGCAGGCATTAACCGATGAACAAGCTTGTCATGACAAGGCTACCAGTCGTATGGCCTATCTGAATGCGGTAATTCAGCGATTGAAATCACTGAAGGCGGAGAAAGCGCAGGCAGAAAAAGAAGGAGTGAAGTTATTGGGTAGTGGAACTACTAATACTACTACTGGTTCTCGTGGCAGCAAGCCCGCGTCAGGTCAGTCCACCTCTGTGGGATCGGAAGATTCATCAGAGAAGAAACTAGACGAAGTTATTCGAGGTGAGTACGTTTTTTTTTGTATGTCATCTGACACAACAGTTCTATTTTTCCGGTCCTCTTATCATTCGAGTCATCATTTTTTATGAATAACTACGTATTTCTGCGCATATCTTATTCAAAACTCACGGTTCTAATTCGTTTTTTATTCTTACTCGGTCGTTTCCTGATAGTAAAAGATCGATGTATACAAAACAAATTCGAACCATAAGTTTTGAATAAGGTACGCTTAAAATCTTTATTAAAAAAGATAGAAGCTTCGGGATTTACATGTGGACAAAATACTGTCAGGTTGCCCAGGCCAAGGAAGCTGAATCTTCTTGAGGGGCATTCGGCCAGCCAAAGCCTGACCCGCAGAGCAGCGGGGCAGTGTGTGAAAACCGCAACCCATTGGGGGCCAGTGTTCAGTTCATGGAATCACATGCCATTTGGATGGGATCAAACGTCCCGATT